ACAGAGAACAGGCAGGGCAGGCAAGCATAGAAAAACTGACAATTTAGCAACAGAATATTAACAAGTTGCTCACCACCCAACATGCCATGCTGGTAGCAATGAATGACAACATTGACATCATCTGCTTGCAGGAACCATGCTACAACTTCAACAAGCAATCAAGAGCAACACAAAAGTGGAGGCCAGTATACCCAAAAAATCACAAAGAGAGCAAGACAAGCAAATTGAGGACAATAATGATGGTAAGCAAGAGGATAACAATGGACTCATGGATGCAGCTCAACATCAATAGCATGGATGTTATAGTAATCAACTAGAAAGCACACATCAAGGATATTCAATATTTACAATGCATGCAATCACTTGAGGAGCATAAGGGTGCTCAAGTTTTTTTTGAAAAGCAAAGTTGGGGTGAGATTGAGAGGGAGGAATGGAGCAGACATCTGGGTGGGCAATTTCACTTAGCACTACCCAATGTGGGACAGTTCTAGGAATAGGCATCTCTTCACCTGCCAGAACTTGGATAAGGCACAGGACCTTGTAAGTTTGCTGATGGCAAGCAAGATGGTCATGGTGCTGTGGCCAGGCATTCCAACACTAGAGGCTAACAACACAAAAAACTTAACACACCCTGACAATGTGTTTATCACTAACAGTTTATAGGATAGGGTAATATGATGTGAAGCCCTCCAGCATCAGCAATGCCCGGGAGTGGACCATTTCTCAATAATCACCACAATCTCAGCAATAATGGAGAGGAGAGAAGAGGAAAGGGGCTGGAACTTGAGGGAGGTCGACTGGAAGGAGCTCAAGGAGGAGCTAGGAGAATGGCTGGAAGAGATTTCAAAGATGAGGATCAGAATGAGGGAGGAGATGGAGGGGAGGTTGGACAGGATCATGGAGGCATTGATGAGAACAGTGGAGGCCAAGATGCAGAGGAGGGAATTGCTATATGTGAAGAAGTGGTGGAACAACGAGTTGTTGAGGATGAGAGTGAGGGCAAGTGCTTTGAATAGAAAGTCAGGGAGGGAGTTAGAAGAGCCTGACCACCCAGTGCACAAGATGTTTGGAGGGCACAGAACAACTACAGTCAGGTAATAAAAGATGCAAAGAGGAGGCACTGGGAAGAATGGTTGGAGCAGGTGGATGCAAATTCTGTGTGGAATGCAAAGAAGTTCATGACAGCAATGTTGTCAGATGGGGGATGCACAAGGGTACCAGTGCTGAATATAAAGGTAGAAGGGAGAACCAGAGAGGTGGAGGAAAACGGAAAAAAAACAAAGCTCTTCCACAAAACATTCTTCTACAACAAGCTCAAAGACTGCAACATCCCAGCAGATCATCAGTATCCACTACCAGCCTTTGAGTGGTTGCCAATACCCAACAAGGAGATCTATGCCACTGTTGCAAAGTTACATCCACACAAGGTACCAGGTCTCATTGGCATACCAAGTGTCATGATCATGAAAACAAGATACATGCTGGTCCCATATCTCAGACCAGTGTTTAGGGCTACCTTTGTGCTTGGTGCATACCCAGAGAGGTGGAAGATTTTCCAAACAGTGGTGCTTAAAAAGCCAGGCAGGAACAACTACAGCAACTCCAACTTGTACCAGCTGATAGCATTGCTTAACATGATTGCTAAGGTCCTCTTGTCATGCCTGAAGATGAAGCTAACTTGATGGAAAAGCACAATATTCTCCCAAAACATCAGTTTGGAGGATGCCCAGAATAGTCCACAACAGATTCACTATACAAGCTCACAATATTCATGAGAGACATATGGCAATGCAACAAGGTAGTTGTTGCACTATTCTTGGACATAAAGGGGGCTTTCTCTAATATGGTGCCAGAAGTCCTGGCACAGAATATGAGAGATAGAGGAGTGCTGGAGGTAGTGGTGAGGTGGTTTGAGACAAAGCTGGATGGAAGGCAGACAGTAATTTCCTTCAACAATTACACTTCAGCAACAATACTAGTGGAGAGTGGGCTCAATCATGGGTGCAACATGTTGGGATTATGCTATAACTTCTACAATGCAGGTCAGATAGAAGGAGTGAAGGAGAAGGAAGGAGAGCTGGTGATATCTTTTGTGGATGATGTGGTGGTGGCAGCAGAAGGGAATGGCATGGAGGAGGCAGTGAGAGGAGTGGAGAGTATAATGGAGCAAGATAGCAGGGCAGGGAGATGGGCAACCAACACATTTCTTGCTATACAAGATGAGGAGGTTTATGGGAGTGAGGTTCTTGAGGAAGAGGGTGAAGACAAGAAGGTGAGTGGGCAGGTCAGAGCCAGTGCAGAGGCCAAATATCAAGATTGCAGGGGTCAACATAGGAGTGAAACTGGTACACAAATTCTTGGAAGTGTTGGTGGACCAGGAATTAAGGTTTTGAGAACACATCACATTTGCACATGAGAAGGGCACTGCAGTGGTATCCAGGATGAAGAGATTGGTGAAGGTGAATGGGGGAATGAGAGGTGTTTTTGTGAGAAAAGTGTACAAGGTGGTGGTTGCTCTGACAATGCTCTATGCAGTGGACATATGGTGCATGCCAAATGTGGAAGTGAATGAGAGAGTAGTGAGAGAATTGAGAGGGTTCAAATCGAAGCTAGAAAGGGAGCAGATGATGGCAATGATTCAGACACTAGGCACATTGTGGACAACTCCAGTGGTCCTACTTAATGCACATGTGGGGTTTTTGCTGATGGATGTTAGGATACAGAAGATATGCATAAAGGCAGCAGCCCAGGTAGCCATGATGCTGGAGACTCATCCTCTTTACAAGCCAGCTTGACATGCAGCCAGATTTGTCAAAAGACACTGTGCACCCCTGCATTACATCTTGAAGGCAGTAGGCAAGAGCCCAAAGAATGTGGAGACAATAAGTGTGGTGCAAAGACATCTGGAATGGAAGTGCCCAGTGGAGGTACTGATAGACAAATAGGTCAAGGAGGCAATAGAGAGGGAGTGGAATAACAATGCAGACATCAGGATATACATGGATTGGTCACATGGATAGGAGCAGTGGCAATGCTGTACTGCAGATTCAAAAGGCTGAAAGTTGTGAGGAAGTGCTTAGGCAAGGAGGAAGACCACACAGTATTCAAGAAGGAGTGTGTGGGGCAAGTGCTGGAAATGGAGCTGCTGAGGGGAGAGTTAAAGGGGAGGAGGAAAAGGAGGGTGGTGAGAAAGGTGATGGTGGGCACCAACAACCAGGTAGAGATGTTAGCACTGCAAGATTCAAGTCCAGGGATGGGATGTTATCTCATCAACCAAGTGTTGGAGGGTACTCACAGGATCAGGAAGACTGGATTGGATGCAAACATAGGGATTTTCTGGACTCCCAGGCACCATGGGATAGCCAGCAACAAACAGGCAGACAAAGAGGTGAAGAAAGTGGCAGAGGGCAACAAGACAGGCATGGAAGGCTTACACTTTCTACAAAAACCACTACCCAAGTCCAGAGCAGCAATTGTTATACAACACAAAAAGGCATGGTGCAGAGAAGCCCAGCAGACACTAGCACAGTCACTGAGATTCAAGAAAGCAAAAGCCATAGACCCCAACCTGCTCAATGCCATGAAGATCATAGCCACGCTGGTGGGACTGCCACACAAACATGCATCACTCCTAGTGCAGCTTTGCACAGGACACTGTCTGCTCAACTAGTACCTGCATCAGATAAAGAAAGCCAACATACCTGTATGCTCCACATGTGGAGACGCCTCAGAGATTGTTTGCCACTACCTGCTGGATTGCCATGCATATGACAGACACAGAATCAACCCCCACTAGGTAGCATGCCTGGGACTGAAAGCACTGAGTACTTTGCTCAGCAATCCCAATGCCATCAAGGCCTTGTTTGCATACATCCACATGATGAGACAATTTGAGAGATCCTACAGAGACCTGACAATCACAATGGACAATGCAGAGAATGCCCAGCAGTGACCCTGAGAGTGCAATACCCTAATCTTACTTATTCTTACCTACAGAATTGCCTCACTGGGGCTTAATAGGGACACAAGCCCAATTCCAGGTGCAAACATACATAGTTTTGGACAAATTACTTATGACAGGAGAAATATGTACAGTGTGTAGACAGGCAGTAAACCTCTGACATAGGGGCATAGCTCCAATGGGTCCAGGAAATAAAAAAAAAGGATGGCAGTAATAGCCTATCAGACTGCCATGCCATCATTCAGTCAGACAATGCTGGAGTGGTAACACACTCTCTCCCAATCTTACTAACAAACTAATGTACTTGTACAAATAGGTAAATCTACATATTGTTCAATTCACATTAGTTATCATTTCTTGATAATTCTCTTTTGTATATCTTGTGTCTTTTTGAAAACTTTGGAGTCTCTTCTCTTATAGACAGTTACAATCACTTGATTGATTGCATCAAATTTCATTCATCATTCTGTTTTTGTCTGCACTTGGGGGTTATTGTTTTCTCAATGCACAGACAACCCCAAAATGTTGCATGTAATATTCTCTCCTATTCCAGTTGATCATATGTAGTCTTCTCTTCTAACAACCACCTCAAGATATCATGTGTAGAACAAGGATAGAACAATATATTGGTTTCTTCTACAGGTCACACCTACAACATCACTAGAAACCAAACCTACACCCCATGACATTAATGCATCTACAAACTTGAGAGGGAGTGGATCTGGCAGTGTTGTGATTTGTATACCACACTGATCTGCAGAAATAACATCTCTCCATGAATGGATATTCTCTAACACTGCCTTTCCTAGATGGTGGTGCAAGACTTGACCAGGAGAAGAGGAAAACCAGACCTGAAGGCATACAAGGATGGAAGGTGACTACCAAGCATACATAATCAAGACTCCTTGTTGCATCCTCTCGAGACACAGATAAGGTGGAGCTGCGATGTTCATAATATATGTAGAAAAGGCAAGGTGGGTGGAGCTGCCACATTTTAGTCAACAATGATCATAAGCCAGCTATTGCACCTTTTCGCTATGGCCGTGTGGCGAAATGGCATCGCGTCTGACTACGATTGCGAAATCAGGAGATTGCAGGTTCGACCCCTGTCTCGGTCAGTTTTAAAATCTTGAATTCCATGACATCTACTTTTATCTTTTTGTCAAAAACAACGGGACTACATAAACTAATTACCGTGTTCTCATTCATCTTATCCACATTGACGAATATTTAATTCAAATCGCATTTCGAGAGGGATCAAAACGACCGACGAACGACATACGACGAACGACATACACATATACTATCACAGGACTCAAGAAATCATACGAGAGATTTTTGAGGGAACGCAAGATGGATAAGAACAAAACATCAAGCCACATCGGCCTGCATCGGGGCAACCTGGCCACCCTTTGCGGCGGTCGGAGTGAAAGTATGCCAGCGATCGTTGTAACGAACATCTATGTAAAAGGGAGTGAGTCATGATTGGCAAAGAACAAAAGAAACAACGTACCGAGAGGCCGTCCACCATACATGTACTGCTGGAATTTGGCTGCAAGCGATGATCAGACTTGACTCCACGAAGACGAAATAAATATGAATGCACCGATAGCGGTCTCAGCTTCCTGAACCTGAGCAAACTGGACGACACCACATCCCTTGGAGCGGGTGCCATCGAAGAGAATCTCAGCAAGCTCTACCTGTCCCGTTGTTTCGAATAGTTCGACTAGATCCTCATTGGCAGTCGACCAGGGCAACTGTATCAGCTAGGTATTAAACATTGCTTGAAACTTATTGGAGACAGGAACGTACATTGCGAACCATGATCTGCTGGCTTGGTTCAGCATCGGGCAAACCACCATATCCACCGCCGTAGCCCCCACCGCCGTAGCCTCCGCCGTAGCCACCAGAGGCGCCTGCACCGCCCTGGTCAGGGCCAGAGTAGTCGGCATAGATATCCTGGTTCGAAAAATCGCGGCCAGCACCACCTCCAAATCCTCCGCCACGGAAGCCACCTCGGAATCCGCCACGGAGACCCCGTCCTAACCCACGAGGTGCGCCACGGAAGCCACCACGGAAGCTACCAGGGCCAGATAGGCCAGCGTAACGGTCCTTAACACACGAAACTAGGTCATGGACCCTCTCGAAAGTCAAATTGTTGTTTTCATACCTCGCGGACCTCAAGAGTACGACCGTACCAGTCAAACCCATGGTACATGCCTAAAAAGGATGAAGCAGAGAGTGGGATAATATAAGACGATGAGACTTACTGATAGCCTGTTGGGCATCTTTTGCAGTTTCGAATACAACGGTACCGGATCCTTTGGGCCGTCCATCAGCGCCTATATTGATGTCGGCACGGATAATGTTCCCAGCGGTACGGAAAAGATCCTTGAGGTCTTGCCACCCGGCTTGATAAGGAAGCTGGAGACGAGGTCAGAGAAAGATCAACAACGCGAGCTGACGAAGGAAACACTCACATTGCCGACGTAAAGTTGATTACCAGGATTGCCCTGGCCACCGAAATAATTATGGGAAGGAGGGCGTGGGGGCGGGGCCGCATGCAACCCTTGACCAGCCATTGCCATACCTATTTTACCTGGAACGGGAGTAGCACCAAAACGGGCCTCATTTTCGCGGTCCTTAGAGGAGTTAGTTGGTGTGTTGAAGACCGATCAACTAAGATACCTCTCTAATAAATACCGGTCTTCCCAGAAGTGGTTGCTCAGACAGTTCTCGAATGGCACGTTGAGAGTCTTCTTGAGAGGCGAATTCAACAATTCTATGTCCTAGTCAATGAAGAGGAAAGGTTTCGAAAAGACCGACTTACCCGCAGCCTTTGGAAACTCCCGTGGGCGTAACAAGAACTTCGGCGAAGAGGACCTCACCAGCTGCCAACCCCAAAAGAAAAGCTCCCATCAATATCCTCTCGACAACTCAACCATTCCGGCACAAAAAACAAAAAGAAACATAACCATCCTCGACACAACACAAACTCACACTCCAATTCCAGTCCGTCGGAATTTCGAAAAGGGCATGCGCGCACATGGTGGAACGTAAACTCCAAAAAACTGACATCGCCCCACATCTGCACCTTCTCTGCTCTGGCGCCACTACTGCTGCCACTAGCAACCCACAAAACCAAAAATATGCACAAAAAAGTGATCTGAGATTCCCCCACCCACCTCCCCTCATGAATTCCATCAGGTCTCTGTACTTGACGTCGTAACTAAGATTACCGACGTAGACCCGGTTTTCTCTCTTGCTGATCTTCGCGAATTCAACGGCTTCTTCATGATCTGCGTTCATCGGTCCCCCAAGAGAGCGAGAGAACGTGTCCGTGCCTCTGCGGTCGCGGCTGCGCGAGCGTGACCGTGATCGACTACGGGATCGCGACCTAGACCTGGAGCGACGACGATTACGGCGAGGAGACGCAGAGCGGCGTCTCGAACGAGAGCGGCTCCGAGAACGCGAGCGCTTACGACGCTGATGATAACACCATGAGTCATTTTGTTGTACATGATATGAAACGAACCCTAACATCTCCATTACGCCTGTCTGGCTCCCAGTGATCGCCTCCGCCACGCCTGGAACGGCCTATAAATCCAAAACAGATGGAACTCTTTATAAAAAAAAATTACACGTGGCGGATACATACCAGACTCCCGTCTATCACGGTCGCGGTGGCTGTCCTTGTCACGGTCCCTGCGCTCTTTGTCGCGGTCATCGCGATCCCTGTCCCTGTCCTTATCACGGTCATAATCACGATCCCTGTCTCGGTCACGGTCTCGTTCTCTCCCACTGCTCACAGGTGCTATGATTGCCTTGTCATCAGTGTCTTCTTTGTTCTTCATATCGACATCCATGTTGAGGCGGAAGTGTGATTAGCAGGCCAAAATGAGTAAGTTATGAGGTGAGAGGGACGTGGAGGTCAAGGAAAAGAAAATTCTCGCACTGACTCAGTTTTCGACCTCCGTCCAAATTTACGTAATCCATATTCATGTGTTAGTAGCGTTTAGAGAGGGAACTTTGCGATATGCCTTTAAGTAGACCAAAAATATGCCTCTAGACCGAAGGGTCTGCAGAATTCCGAGTCCATTTCGGGCAGAGGGTCCGTCTGCAGACTTGCCTCTGCCAGACAGTGTTTCCACAGATAGTAGGACTGTTAGCAGACTCTCCTCTAAGTTCTAACCCAGAACTGTGTAAGTATGCCTTCCCCGTTATATTCTGCTTCATGCTGAGATGCTCAGCTTCGCTCATCGTCAAGAACAGCCATCACATCCCGCCTTCCTGTCAATTTCAGTTGCTCAAATCCATCAACTCTTAAAAGAGATTTCCTACTCCATTTGATAGCTAAGCTGCGTCCTCCCGTCCTCCCCTTTCTCTTAAAATCAATCTTTTGGGATCGTATAATAATAATGGTAATACATCATGACTTACAAGTTATGCCAGTGTAAATTACGTCCTTGTAGTCCTCATTCGTTCTCCTCGATGCTATCCTGTTGTCATTGTCATCCTTGATGCCAGCCTCGTGATCCTTCGTGGTAATAGAAGGTCAATAATCAATCGTAGTAACTGTTTACATGATAATAAAAGGAGGAGACTTTCTGGAATGCATCTTAAAGTTACTGGAAGGATCAAGAGAGTAGAAAGTCCAAGTTCCTACGTATTCAGGGGTATTGAACTAATCAGGCAACCAGAGAGTATTATGACTAGCGAGCGCGAAAGCGGCGGATGTGTGTACAAAAACAGCAAGCACGAACTGATGCGAAAGTGATTTGACTGATGGGTAGTAGGTATCGGCAATGTCCGCAAGCGCTGATGAGAGGCAGCTTAGTTTGTTTGCTGGGAAATGTCATGCATATAATCTGTATACAATTTAATTCGAACTACCGCAAGACGAGATGTTCGGTGTTCTCCGACACTTACCCGTTCGAACCACTGCTGTCACTACCGGGAGTGAAGTGTATTGAAGATCTATTTCTAGTTCTCGGCACCTATCGCACTTTCTGACGGGCCTCGGGTTGTCTGTCGGCCGTCTTTAGTAGATATGGATAGATGAGGTGTCAGCGGTGTCTGCCCTTCTGTCTCTTTCTATGTGTCTATTTCTGTGCTCTGGGGTAAATTTATTAACTACGTATTTTGTTGTGGAGAAATCGCTTCAAGAATCGAGATCGCAGTCCTGTTCGATGTGACGTTCGACCTTTGCATTTCGGACGCCAGTATGCTTGTTCCATAATATATAAAGAGGACTTCTTGAGCCAGCCAACTCAACGCCTTGATATCTCACCTCAACCCATGACTTCTTCTCTTCGCCAACTCGTCACTCTTATAACAGAAGCTGCTGACAAACTCGAGTGTACCGTTGACAGCACAAAGACATCCATCCCTGACCTGTATTCTCCGTTCGCTCCTCAGTCTGAAGCTTTCCGTCTCAATCCTGATGTTGCCGAATCTGCGAACATCATATGTGCAGCAGCATCGCAGCTGGAAGCTATCTTATTGCCTCCTCATGTTTCGCTGGGTGCTGCAACTACTGGCGTGTGTACTGTTTATCTTAATTCCCTCAAATTGCTGACATGGTTTTAGTATCTAAAATCAACCACAGTCCGCGTATGCCTCGAGTCCAATGTCACCGAGATCTTGCGCGAGGCAGGTCCAGATGTCAGTTAGACCGTCGTCGTTTGATCCCATGCCTGATAATCGCCTCTCAGGGCCTCCATGTTAATGAGATTGCTGCCAAGAACGGGCAAAACCCTCAGAAGCTGGGTAAGCATTGGATAGGGCAATACCTGAAGTCGACGCCGACCTTTTTAATCAGCACGTATTTTGCGTTTCCTTGCCACGCATCACATCTATCGAGAGATCAAACCAAATATCTTTACCAACACCCGTATCTCCAGTCTGTTGGACACCCTCAAGCCCAGCCAGGATATCATAGACCAGTAAGTTACGTACCATCCACGAAGTTCGGTTCATGTTTAATTATTGGTTAGCCCTGAGACAAAATACGAAAATACTCATGGCATGGCTGCTTTGGTATCTCATGCGTACGTGCTTCATCATGCCTAATTTATTTCAAGACAGATTTTCAGATACGGTTTAGGCTTGACGAAAT